TTAATAGCTTACCATAGTTTTAATAGATAACTATAGTTAACAATAGTTTTTACAGTTATCTATAGTTATCCTAGTTCAAGTTGTCAAACAGTTATCCGGATTGCCGATCATCATTACTAGACTAGACTGCTTATTTATTGTTATTAATTTAATGGGCTTAGCATCCTGACAAAGTTTTAGTTCATAATTTGATCAACTAAATTTTAGGGCCTGGTATAATGTGATAGCCTAGACTGCTTTTTTTTCTAACCAAACAAAAGTAAAGTAATAAATCACATTAAAGTTAGGATTAAGTATGGTAACTTGAGCACTTATAAAAATATCATAAGGAACATTTTAATTAGTTCACAGTAACTAGTTTCATAATTAAAATTTTGAGTTATTCCTGTATTTGTATAAAAGTGCTTTCATTTCGATTTTTATGCTACATCTGATCTGATCTGCTTGTAAACAGAGTCACAAGGCAGTACATTATTGCGAGTCACTGGACCTTCCATGTGACAAATAGGTCACAGAACTTGTTCATGACGAAATAGTATTTGAGTAACTTGATGATCTATTGTCTTCTTTGTCGTTTGAATTTTTTGCTCGACATTATGTTTAGCTACATCGCAAGAACAAGCCAGTATCTTCTTTTCCATCATTATTTTCTTATGAACAATAACTTGATTACTATTTAAATAATATAAACTATCATATAAACTATTATATTACTGTAAAACTTCAAGTAAAGACGTATACCTTAGCTCTATAGGGCTTCAAAAAAAAAAAAAAAAAAAAGTGTGCCCAAATTTGAATGTTATCTAAAGTGGCGAAATGGTAACTTTGATGGAAAATAGAGTGTTTAGATACTGCCATAGTCACAGCATCAGCATTCCCAAAGATAGGGAAAAGCGTTTGATTTGTATTTATAATTGGCAAATACAGTACATTCTATCGATAAAAACAATCTTGGATGGTGGTACATACCAATATGGCATTGGAACCAACATAGATAATGCAGAAGCATTCGAATAGTACTTTAGTCCCACTGAAGGGATGTTCATTGGACAATAGTCATTAAAGATGCTATTGAAATGGTGTAAAAAAAAAAAAAAAGGTAATTGCTACTGCAATAAATCACTTTGGATATTGCTATCAATGTGAAATTGGTGTTGAAAAGGATGAACAAAAGGCATTTGTTAGTTATCTAAATCTGCAGAGATAATGTATTATCTTGCAGATTGTTATAGAAATGGAATAGGAGTGGGAAAAGATGAACATAAGGCATTCATCAATTATCAAAAATCTGCAGAGTTGAGAAATACTCAAGCAATATATTATTTCGCAGCTTGTTATCAAAATGAAATAGGGTTGAAAAGGATGAACATTAGGCATTTGTTAATTGTCAAAAATCTGCTAATATGGAAAAGGCTGAAGCAATATATAGCCTTGGATATTGTTATCAGAATGAAAAAGGAGTTTAAAATGAACATAAGGCATTCGTTAATTCAAAAAATTTGCTGAGTTGGGATATGCTCAAGCAACAAGTCAAGTTGGAGATTGCTATCTTTATAGAATTGGGGTTAAAAAAAATAACTATAAAGCGTTTCTTTATTATCAAAAAGCTGATGGGAGAAACTAACAGAATGTCTCAACTTGGTTATTGTTATAAAAGCAGTTGATAGCAAATGAATTAAATATAATAACCTAGGATTGGAAGAGAGAAAGCATCTTCTGAAACACTATCAAGAGTGCCACAGTAATTCTTTGATTTTTCAGGCATTAGCAAATACACTCTGTAAAGCACCATACTAGTGCAGATGCATCCAGCAAGAACACTAATTACTAGCAAATACGTCTGCTTAAATATTACTAACTCCTGAAGCCTTTCACAGAAATAAATTTGGATTACAAAAGAAAAGCATCTTTTAAAAGGCACTTTGCAAAAAGGCGAGTAATAGTAAAAAAAAAAAAAAAAAAAAAAACAGTAATAGTGCAAATGCCTTAGGCCATACAAATTTAATAAATCGGTTTTCATAACCCGGCTGGGTCAAAATTTACAAAACCTTAGAAAAAAATTTTTAGTATATTTACTATCCAGGTGAGTTTTTTTAAAAATTATATAAAAAATTTTATATGTTTTTTATATATAAAATTTTTTGAAAATAAAATTAAAAGCCGGGTTGCCGGGTCACTTTTAAAATTTTATGTTATGAAAACCGAATTATTAAGTTTGTATGGCCTTATGTGAAAATTAGGCTTCGCAGCTATAGTAGCAGTGCGAGGACATGTGTTAGATTTGGCTTAATGGTTACAATAGTAATGCAATATTCTTATACGAAAATTGAGAAAAAAGAAAAAAAAAAAAAAAAAAAAAGTACTTACGCTAGTGCAGCTTTATATAGGGCAGTATATAGGTCGTGTTGTTTGTAGCTGGCTATGTGTGTTTGATAATCGATGTTATTGAAAAAAAAAAAAAAAGATTAGTAGCAGTATAAGGACCCTATGCAAAAGATTAGACAGTTATATGATAGAGAAATCTAGGCTTCACAGTTACAATAAAAATAGGCACTGAGGCTACAATAGCAAGAACTTTATAGGTAAAATTAGGCTTCTTTGCTGTAGTAGTAGTGCAATAATTTTATAATAGAGGAAATTCAGGATTTGAAATTGTGTAGTGTAAGAACTTTATGTAAAAAATTTAGGCTTCACTGCTGTAGCAGTAAAGACTTTATGTAAAAAAAAAAAAAAAATTAAATTAAACTCTGTGGCTGTAATAGCAGTGCAAGGACTTTATGTTAGAGAAATTTAGGCTTCGTGGTGCAACAATCTTATGATAAAGAAAATTTTAAGCTTCGAAGTAGCAGCGGTCTTATGTGGAAATCAGACTCTGCAGCTACAGCAGCAGTTGCAACAATCTTAGTTTGTAGACAACCTTAAATAAGGGTTAAAAGGAAGAGAAAAGCATTAACAAATGCACCTTGCAAACTTCATTCTGACTCTCTAAACCTTACTAGTAATAGGCTTGGTTTAGAAGAAGGGAAAGTATTAGCAGATAATCAGGTATCACAGGGACAAGATTTCTTTTAGTAAAATAGCTTTACTTTCGGTTAATCTTTTTAGATCGAAGGATAATTTTTATAGATAAGGGAACTTTATTTACTAGAGGACCAACTTCTACTATAAAAACTTTGAAGTTATAGAACTCTTGTAAGTTATTTTTATTTGATCAAAAAGGTCTGTTCTTTTATACTTTTCGACCTTTGCTGCATACATAAAGGTCGTGTACTATGCTAATATATTTTACAATACAATTTCTTTAAGATAACTATACTATGCGATTCAACTTTGAATTTGATTACTCCACCTCGTTCAAAATTGAATGATTGTTCAAAATTAAACGAGTGGTTTCGTACAAAATTGAATGGGTGGAGGGGGCTTGGTTAGTTCGTTCAAAATTGAACGAACACTATATATAAGTTCTATTTTTAGTATTGCTCTATTCCAACTTCGTAATAAAAGAAATAACAATAATAATATAAAATAAAAAAATAATAAAGAGAAAAAAAAAAAAAAATATTGCAAGGGTGTTTAGGATCCCCGGTCACAATTCCTCCCGGCTAATATGCGAGTACTATGAGCATTTAATACAACAATGCTTCGTATTCATCAACAGTTAGTTGATGAACTTTGCAGATGGTGGTCCAAGTGGTGACATAGAGATGATCTACCTCTAATGGTTCAAAAAGATGGTAGACTCTAATAGAGGCATCGAGGTAATGGCACAGAATCCTTCTATGTAGTTCAGTAACTTGATGCTTTCGTGCTTTGCTAACTAGTGCACCTAGGTAGAATGCATGAACTAAGCTTTCTACCCTTTTACTTTCTTCCAGGGCTAAACCAATTTCATTGCAGGCAGCAATGGCTTTTGTGAAGAATTCTTGGCCATCATAATAGGGACATGAAGTGGGCTCTACTGGCAAAATATTCATTGTGTTGAGATCGATGTGGATTTGAAGTGCTGCAGTGCTTAACATGTTTAATAATAATAATAATAATAATAAGAGGTTTGTTTGGTTTTTCTACTTTCGCTAAGGGCTATATCTTCCTGAATCCCACTTTTTTATAGATTTCGCTCTATATAAGTTTTCAATAGTGCCTTATTAATAGGCGCATCAAGGACTCTTCCGTCCATGTCATGTAGCTTGTACACCCCATTTGGGAGGATGGCATGCACATAGTATGGGCCTTCCACTTAGGTGCAAGCTTGTGGCTTCGAGTGCCCAATATTCAGGCATTTTGCATAAGGACCTGGTCTCCTATCGAGAAATCGGGTGTGGCTATGATGTGTCGATCATGCCACTTCTTCTGTTTTGCCTGTTTAACCTGTATTTGTCGTATTGCCTTCTCACGCAATTCTTGTAGATTACTATCAATTATGTACATTCTCTGGATGATCATTTCATTCAACAAGTCCAGGGATTCGCTGGGATGTATTGGAAGTTTGGCTTTTCTTTCATATACCAAAAAAAAGGGCGTCTTTTGCGTGGAGGCTTGTTTTGCGGTTCTGTACGCAAATAGTATAGGTGATATTAACAAGTGCCAATCCATGACATTAGTCATTAGTCATGAGATTGCACACAGAGCGTCTTATTGAAACGCTCTACAAGCCCATTGGTCTGTGGGTGGTATGGAGTCAAAAAATGGTGCTTGATTGTCAAAGCCACAAGTAGTTCGTCGATAAGACGATTCTGAAAATGAGAACCCCGGTCAGACACTATAGAATATGGGCACTCATGTCTGCATATGATTTTTTCGTAGATGAACTGGGCCACTTCTTCTGCATTATCTCGTGGAATAGCACGTGCTTCTGGCCACTTTGTTATATAGTCGGTGGCTACCACAATGTATCTGTTGGAACAGAGCATAATAGGTAATAGTCCGACTATATCAATATCTATTTTGTGGAAAGGTGCGTCAACAGGTATTGGATGCAGTTTTTTTCTTCCCATGTTGCTGGCATTTGTCACATGATTTTACATACTCCTATATGTCAGCATACATGCTGGGTCAATAATAATAGTCGTGGATTTTGTTAAACATAATGTCTCAGCCAAAATGAGCACCCAGTGGATGGTCATATGCTAAGATTAGTATTGACTCAATTTCCCCTTCTTGTAGTACTTTAAGCAGATTTTTCTTTCCGTTCTTTTTATATAGTATTCCATTTTGGACTTGGAACTTCTGACTTTGTTTTTCTAATTGCTTCCGTCGTGGCTCGTTGAAATGCTGCTGATATTGTCTATATAAAAGGTAGGTTTTTAAGGCAGCATATTGTTGTAGATTCATTATTGATTTATAGGTTTATTTTCTTATTTTCGATTGTTTGTTGCCAGGATACCGATGACCTGGACTGGATTTTTATTTTACGTCAGGTTTGTAGATCAATTGAAGCTATTTATTTTTCTAATCGTTTGGTCTTCTTCAGTTTTAAACAATTAGTCTTGCCAATATATTTTGCTAACTAATCCTTCGTTTTCGAATATTGTCCTTTCTAGTGTCTGGTAAATTACCTAATTCTGTTTTGATAACAATGTCCAACCTTAAGGACATTCTTTTCGATAGTCGATTTCGAAGTACTTTCGCTTTTCGTCTAGTAAGTTCATGGAGGGTTTTTCACCAAAATTGGGTTAATTGTCTATCTTGGTAGCTTTTAGCATTGTATGCCCAGGTTAATTCTCTGGGCCCTTTTAGATATTCTGCCAAAACTCTGTCTTTGTAGTCTTTACTTCGTTTTGATAGCAGTACCAATTCTCTATTGGTGTGCTTAGATTTCTTAATACATGCATATGTAATAGTCATGCGCTCTTGTCTTAAAGCAGTGGATGTCTTTCCGAGAATTTTGCTTTTGTGCATTGTGATATGGATTTTTTGATGCTTCTAAAACCTTTTTTTTTGGGTCTCGGGGTCCTTAGTAAATGAAACGTAGGCTTAACTTGAATAGGGCCCCAACTCGCCCTACCCTATCCTGACCAACCATGCTCTATTGTCATGTCTGCATATGGGTAACAAATAATACTAATAATTGACTTAAAAAAAATTAATAAAAATAAAAAAAAAGAAAGATTTTTTTTTTTTTTTATGTATATATATTTAATGCCTAATGTTTTTCTTTAGCGATAGTTCTACTTTTTGAATTTCTTTCTGTCACAGTTTATTTTTCTGGCCCTTAATTAATTCTTTGAAAGGTGAATCTTCACCTTCATAGGGAATCGTAAAACTCTTAGTCGATATAAGTATCGAGTTGTGTTTGCTCCAATTCTTCCCAATCAAAGTCTTTATTGGGGTCCATTTTACTTTTGTCAATATTTCACCAATGTTGATCAGGATTTAGATAAATATTATCATAATTATACTTTATGTCTTTATAAAAGTTACTTTCAACTTCCAATCCTTCGGTTACCTCTCCCCACTGAGGCATATCGATTAAGTAAGTCTCATCGATATCCATGGGTTGGACTTCACTATTGAAGGTGCTGTTACTTAGGGGTTCTTTGTAATACCCATGGATTGTGGACCATGTTATTACTCTTTCTGATTTCAAGGCCAGTTCATATAAAAGATCTTGATAGTACCTTTCATGTTCTTGGTTGTGGGTAAGTTCTTCTTTCCAATCATATTTTTGACTTTCATTTTCAACTTCACTCATTTTGTCAGTATAGTCTTCCCAATCAGTTTCATTATTCCAACTGCTTGAGTCTCCCATTCTATCAGATTCTTCAGAAGAATATTCTTCCACTATTACTTTAAGATTTCCACTTCTGCTTCAGCTACTTGAGCTTTGGTAAGTTCTGATTTGGATTCAGAGATACCATCAGCATTCTCTATATCAGCTGTCTTTTTACAACAGCTAGGGCCTTATTCGGGTTGGGTGATTCTTCTTTTATCATCCTAGATAATATATCTGCATTATTATGTTTACATCCTGCTCAATGAATTATCTTATAATTATAGGGTTGTAGCCGTAAAATCTATCAAGCCCTTTGACCTTTTGGTTCAGTAGTTTGGAGCCACTTGAGAGCGGTGTGGTCAGTTACAATCACAAATAATTTGTAGTCTATGTAGTGATAGAAGTATTCTATGCCCCAAATTACGGCGTAGCATTCTAATTTAGTAGCTGCATAGTTTCTTTCTGCTCTGGTAAGGCCTTTGCTAGCATAGACTATAATGTACTCCTTTCCATCTTTGTCCTTTTAGGATAATACAGCTTCTAGCCTAGTGCCGAAGGCGTTAGTATGGGGTAAAAAGTTCTAGAGAAATCTGGATACCTTAGCACTGGAGCAATAATTAGATGTGTTTTCAGTATTTGAAAGGCTTTTTCTTGAGATTCCCCCTACTCATATTTTTCTCCTTTTTCTAACAACTTGTGTAGGGGCTTGGCTGTAGCAGTGAATCCTTAAATAAACCGCCTATAGTATGAAGCGAGGCCTATAAATCCTCGGAACTACCTTAGGTTTGTTGAAGTGGGAAATTCTTTAACCTTTTCTATCTTTGCTAGGTCAGGCCTAATTCTGTCACAGCCTACTACGTGCCCTAAGAATTGTATGTTATGCTTAAATAACTCATATTAAATCTCAACCCTGCGGTTTTGATTTTTTTAAATACTTTTTGCAGATGATTTAGGTGGTCTGTGTAAGTTCTTGAATAAATTATAATATCATTCAAGTATACTGCCATGAATTGACCCAGTAATTCATGTAGGATATGGTTTATAGTACGCTAGAAGGTTGTCAGGGCATTGCTTAATCCAAATGGCATTACCTGGAAAGCATAAACCCCTTGCTTGGTAATGAAGGCAGTTTTCTTTTGGTCCTCTGGCTTTATACCAATTTGCCAGTAACCACTAGCAAGGTTAAGACTTAAAAACCATTCGACTTTACTGAACATCTCAAGCAATTCATCGATTTGGAGTAAAGGGTAAGCGTCACTCTTGGTCACAGCGTTTAATTTACAGTAATCCACACATAATCTAAACTTTTCATTTTTCTTAGGGACAATCACAACCAGGGATGTCCAGGAACTTTTCAATTCATACACAGTGGCTCTCGATATAACGGACCATCGATATAACAGATATTGCTTAGTGCGAAGATTTATAATGGAACCAAATGGGATCTTTGCTAGGAAAATCACCCTTCGGGATTTTCCGATCGGGCTAATTCTGAAAGGTTTAGACCAGAATACCAGTTCTTGTTCATATGTAAATCACCTTTTGCTATATTTATCCGATAGTTTATTAAATAAACTGTCGAATCAGTAAAGTAAAAAGATGGTTTACATATGAATAAGAACCGCTAAATTTTTCCGAATTAGCCCGATCGGAAAATCCCGAAGGGTGATTTTCCTAGCAAAGATCCCATATCAAGAAGCAGTCCAGTTGTCAAAGTATTGTTGAATATAAGATTTGATAGTTGGAAAATTACTAATAATATCATTGTCTAATCTGATATTGTTAAATTTCGGAGGTGGCTGATACTTTGAGGACTACCCCAACCTGGTTACCCAGGTTGTTTAATGTCATATCCTCTGATCTTGGACATGTAGAAGACTAGTTTGTGTTTGTGTTTACAAATGTTTTGGGTAAAGTACATATTACTATATACAGTTAATGATATTAGACTATATAATCCTACTATTTATATGTCTAGCCTAACCCTTATATGGATTTATCTTGTGTTTATACCGACTAAACCGGTTTGTATTCCTTCAATCCTTACTTCGAACTATTTTTTAAGGGGCCCCAACCCTCTATTCTTTATCCTTTTCCGAATTGAACACCATATTTGGGATTTGCAAGTAGTTCTTCCTAATCTGGTTAGTCCGGAGGTCTTGATGCTTGTATCACTTCTATATCAGGGTCTACCATAGAGGCTTATTTTGTGTTTGCGCCGACATGCACCGGTTTGCATTTCTTCATCCAGGTTTTTCCCAAATGAACACTCTACTATAGATCTTGTTACACCGCAGTACTCCCAGGAGCAGTACCCCTGGTCTGTGCCCTTTCGGTTACAGCATACGATGCTACTACAGATTAAGTTAACATATCCAGAAAGGATATACAAGGAGTAGTTTTCAAATTTTCATCACTAGTAGGATTCGAACCCTAGACCTTGCTACTTGGGGGGTGACAACTCTACCACTCCACTATGTCGCCACACCCATTTTTATTTATTTATTTATTTATATTAAGTTTTAACTTTTAATTTTTACTTTTTTTTTTTTTAGAATAAAAAAGATGCTTGCATCTCTTTTGCAAACTCACAAGCTGAGTCTTTAGATTCGATAAATGTTGACGACCTTTATGAAAACTTACCTAACTCCAACTCTGAAAACTATCTAAGCGATAACAGCGTTGAAAACAATAATAGTGATGACATGAAAATATGCAGTTTTTTAACATGTTAGTTAATAAAATTTGTTGTTTAACACAAGCAAACGTTGTTTTGAAACATGTTGATTAACAAAATTTGTTGCTTAATGTGTTGGTATGTTAATTTTTCAACACGTTAAGCTATGAAGGGTTCGTTTTCCTACACTTTTGAGTATTAACTAATGCTGTACGTTAGTTAATATTTATTAAATGCTTTTAAAACTTCCTGGCTAGTAGCCAGGCACCATGAGCAAGGAACCGACTTTGCCACAACGCAAATCCTAGTTAACCCTTCGGATCTAAGAGTTATGAGAAACAAATCAAATAGCTAATGAAGCAGATAGAGCAGATGAGCCTCAACTATGCTACTATCGCTTTGGCTCTACTGGCCCAAGTAGAAAAAAATGATACATATAAACAAACTCCATCTTCTTAGAAGAAAAAGAAGAATATTACTTGTTTTAGGTGTGGCGAAGTTGGACACTTTACAAACAAGTGTATGTCGAAAAAGCCAAAAGAAATGGCCTACCAAATATTAAAGAAGCCTAATAATGACAACAATAATAAAAACATTAATCTCATAGACCTAGTAACAGATAATGAGGTGGAATAAATTTATATACATCGCTCTCAACCTTACAGTACAAATAAGAAAAAGCAAAAAGAAAAACAAAAACAAGCTAAAGCTCAAAAGGAACAGAGCTTACTAATTAAAGCATCTACGGACCCAGTGCAAGAAATAGAAGACCCAATAGAGTTTGAAGATACTTCGGTGAAAAGTTGTGAAGAAAAGATTACCTTCAGTAATCAACAAACTCAAGCCATATGATATAGCAGAAGACTTATTGTCTATACCTGCGCAGGCTACAATAGGGCAGTTATTACAATACCCTAATCAAAAATGAAACTTAGCTAGGATACTTAGACGAAAAAGGCACTAAACACAGAAGCTAACTTGATCAACGCCGAAGACAATTGGAAGACTATAGCCATGAGGTGCTACATTCGGATTAAAAAGAACCCTGTAGTAGCTATTCTAGACTTGGGTGCTGCTATAAGCATTATTACCCGAAAATTAATAAAAAAGTTAGGGTTAGAAATAGACAAACCCTCTAAGACTATTGTTATAACAGCCAATGGGAACCAAACAAAGGCTTTAGAGATCGTTAGTAAGGTTAAAATAGTCCTTCAGGATTTACTTATACCTATAGACCTACAAGTAATCGACTCTCAAGAAAAGACCTTACTCCTGGAGACTGACTGGTTCGATAAGTCCCATGCAAAATTAGACTTTGACAATAATACTTTGTATGTAAAATACCTGGGTAAGCAGGTAACAGTGAATGCAACCCATATTAGTAGCAATAGCTACCATCAAGAACTGGAAGAGTTCACTGATGAAAAAGACTGGATAGATAAACTAAAACAAGACAAAGATGTTCATCAAGCCTTCTATAGTGATCTATCCTCTAAAGAAGAAGAAGACCTGTATTTTAATCTGTGAACAGAGGATAATCCGGCAGTATACTTAACAGAAACGGAAACAAACCTACAAAAAAAGGATACAAGAGTGTTTGAGGTTAACCTAAATCTAAATAACCAACAACTGCAGCAAGCAGAAGACCTATTGATAAAGAATGCGAAAGTTTTTGCAGAGAAAATCAGTAAGGATAGGCAAACAGTAGGTCTAGGACAAACCAATCTAGTATGCTACGAAATAGAAACAGGTGAAACAAAGCCGATAAAGCAACACCCATACACAGTGGCACATGACGAACAAGAATTTCTTAAGGATGAAATTCTGGCTATGGAAAAACAAAGTATTATCTTTCTAATTAAAAGCCCCTGGATGCCCCCAGTGGTCCTAGTGCCAAAGAAAAATGGTAAGAAAAGAATATATATAGATTACTGGAAATTGAACATGGTAATGGAAAAAGACATATATCTCTTACCTAAAATAAACAAAGTCCTATCGGAATTTGAAAGTGCCAAGTGGTTTACTAGCTTGGACTTGGCTAGTGGATACTGGCAGGTGGCCATTAGAGAAGAAGACAAGAAGAAAACGGTGTTTATAACCAAGTTTGGCACTTACACATTCAATGTAATGCCATTTGGCTTATGTAACACATCCTCGACTTTTCAAAGACCTACTTGACCCTTTTATCAATAAATTCATTGTTGTTTATCTATATAACATTGTTATTTACTTAAAGACGTTCCAAGAACACGTGGAATATCTGCAACAAGTCTTCGAAAAAATTAGGCAGGCTAAGTTAAAGTGTAACTTGAAAAAATATTTATTTTTCCTAAACAAAATAAAATTTTTGGGTCACATAGTTAGTAACCAGAGAATTTATCTGAACAAGAAAAAACTGAATAAAATAAAAAACTTTTCTAGGCCAACGTCTTGAAGCAAGTAAGATCGTTTTTAGAACTTGCATCATATTATCAAAGGTTCATCAAAGGGTTTTCAAAAATAGCCAAACCCTTGAATAAGTTACTAAACAGAGATGAACCTTATTGTTGGACTAAAGACAGAGACAAAGCTTTTCAAACATTAAAAAATTGTTTGATTACCTCTCTAATTTTAAGGTATCCAGACTACAACTGGCCTTTTTATCTACATATGGACGTATTCACATCAGGATTAGGAGCCGTTTTAGCCCAGTTAGATAAAAATCAAAGAGAATATGTAGTTGCTTACACCAGTAGGAGCATAAGCAAAACTGAAAAAAACTATCCAATTCCAGAATTGGAATGTTTGGCTGTCATATGGGCAGTTGAACATTTTCATCAGTGCCTTGGAGCCAAACCCTTTTATCTTATAATGGACCACTCGGCCCTGCAGTGGTTAAGAACTTCCGAACTTAAAGAAAAATGTACTAGGTGAATTATGTGACTGAAACCGTATAATTTTAAGATTATACATTGTCTCAGCTAAAAGCATAGCAACGCCGACGCTCTATCAAGGATGTATACTTAAGAAAAAGAAGACTAGCAAGAAGTATACATAATAGAAATGGAAGACAATAATTCAGTAAAAAGCGAAATAACAGTGAAATTTGTGGAAAACTGTTTTATACCCACCGATGATGAAAGTGAAGTTTCTTCACAAGAATCGAAATCACCAGGGTTAATTGCTCAGACTAATAGAAGTACAGTTAAAGAAAATCGCCGGGAAGTGATAAAAAAAACCCTAAGCTATAACCTACCTAGAGGTTTGACAGAGTACCTCCATCCATATGAGGATGTTAAGTTTACTCAGAAGGGAATCTATTACAATCAACAACATTGTATATGGTATTATATTGAGCACATTAGTAATCGTTTGAAGCAAAAAACCAAAAAAAAGCACCTAACAAGGAACTGGAAAGGGCCAACAGCCCAATGTTGGTGTGATAATAAGTTATACTCACCATCAGATGAGTGTAGCAAGTGTTATAGTGATCTAAAGTTATGGATCACTTTAAAAAAATACTCTATTGATAAAATTGCCAAATGTTACTGGGCAACTTCAGATGATGAAGAATTAGAGAATTACTATCACAAAAACAATTATATATGGAGTGATGATGAATCAATGAGCAACTTTACCTGCAACACTTTTAATCTTATTGATGATTCCCTTATAGAGCAATGGGAAAGTGAAAGTGTTAGTGAAAATCTTCTGCTAGACTTTACTGATGAAGAAAGAGAAGGAAACACAATACCATTTCCAACAGAAGACTTAAATAATTTCTCTTGGTGGTTAGAATTATTAGAAAAACTATCCAAACATTATTATAAAAAATTTAATAATTTTTCAAAACTTATCTCTGTAACTCCATTTGGTGGGAGGCTGCCAATCCAGTTAAGTACTTTTAGAGGTACAACTCAAACAACAAATATCCGTACACAAAAGAAGAAAAACTTTGCAAGTTGGTCCCTGCAACCATCATCACAACTTCCTGAAAATTATAAGATAGAAGTAAGACATCAAAATACAATATAAATAAACAATCAACATTATTTATAAATATTTTTTTTTAAAAAAAAAATAGATTCAACAAAATACCAACAAATAAAGCAGTTTTTGAAAACTGTACAGTATCCACACCAATTAAATAGTCAGGAGAAAAGACAATTAGAAGTACAAAGCAAGTTTTACATCTTATATAACCACCTACTTTATAAAAAAGATCGAAAAAGATGGACAAAGAATCAAATGTTAAGAGTAATACAACAACATGAAGTGAAATTGATTTTATACATTACCTACACGCATTTGTTAGAAGCCTATTTCAGAATGGAAAAGACATTAAAGAAGATAAAGAGTTAATATTACTGACCTCAGATGTATAACTCAATAAAAGAATACATCAAGACCTGTGATGTATGTCAATAATGCAGAAAATATCAAATTTGTGGCTTCTTGCAACCCATACCCATTGAAGCACCCTTTTACAAAATTGGCCTTGATTTTGTGGGACCACTGAACCTAACCACAAAAGGAATTATTGTGGCAGTTAATTATATGACCAAATAGCCTGAAGCAAAAGCAGTGCCTGCCGCTAATGCTCAACAGACCGCATGATTCATCTTTGATGAAATCATATGCAGATATGGATGTCTTGTCTACTTGATATCTGATAGAGGTCTACATTTTAACAATGAAGTGATAAGATTTCTGGTTAGTAACTTTGAAATCAAACACTTAATGTCAACTCCATACCACCTACAAATAAATGGGTTAGTCGAAAGATATAACCATACCTTATATGAGTCTTTGGTGAAATTGATCAAACAAGAGCAAGAGTGGGATACCCTTATACCTTCAGTACTCTATGCCTATAGAACTAGTAAGCAGTTCACAACGACGAAATTCATGCCTTTCTATCTAACATATGGGAGAAAAGCCCGATTCCTGAACTTCCAGGAAGAAAATGACACCCAAGAAAATATGGTCGATCGATTAACCACGATCGTTAATGACCTAGCTACTAAAAGAGAGATTGCGAAAAGTAATGTTAGAAAAGCCCAAAATAGGCAAAAGTTTTACTGAGACAAAAGACTTAAACAAGTACTAAGAATCTTCCAGAATAGAGATAAGGTACTTTCAGTGTTGTTAATGAACAGCTTTTAGCAGTAGTTTGGACAATTTTGGACAATTAAATAAAGTCAAATTACTTAAAATTTTATTAAGATAATCTATTTTAATTTTGACTGGAATGTGTTTAGCACCCCCAAAAATATATAATTATATATTTTTTTAGACAAATTTACTAATTATTAAAGCCTGCATAAGCTTTGGACACTTGGACATTATGGACATAGACAAGGTCTTGGACAGCCAAAATGTACAACACTAGGTACTTTTATTTGACACCGCTCAGATTGGACGTCATACTGGAAAATTCTTACCTAGGTGGCTTGGACCTTTTGTCATACATAATTGTGTTGCACAAAATTGTACCGATTATGTACGTTACAAGGTCAGATTCTTGACATGCCACAGAATACACTTCTCCTTAAGCGATATTATGAAAGGTATATTTAATGCAGATGTATTAAATTAGCAAATTCAAAAAAAAGCATTGCAGAAAATTACTGCAATTGCTCTTTTTGAAAGTATTTGCTACAGGTCATTGGCCTTATATGCCAAAATTTGGATTGGTATCATCAGCTGATGCTGGTGATGCTAATGGTGTATTTATAGAGGTAGCTGTTAACTACAACCAAGAAGAATTATTATAGTATTTTGACTTACAGAGCTCATCATTAGTTGAAAAGAAATTGTTACATTAGAAAGTCAGGTCCCCTTTTAGTACCCAGATGCCGCAGTGATGCATGCTATAAAGGTGCATGATTTGCACAACAATGTAAAGGTAAAGGTGCAAAATATATCACGTCTCTTAATTATCAGCGAAATTAATCAAGTGGTTCGCTTAGAAGCAAGTTGATATTAAAAGATGTATTAGCTTAAAATTGAAAAGAACCAATGAAAAGAATGGAGTAGAAATAGATACTTCCCGCAAAATATATATAAAAGGCCCTTACTTTCGCTTTACTTTAGCTTAGAACTCCTTAGTATAGAATTCTCACCCATAGAAATAGTTATTTTTCTTATTTTTTTTATATTTGTTAGTTATTTTATCAGTTAGATAAAATAACCATGTCTTCATACACATTAAATTCCTTCTATATTTTTAAATAAAAACCTTTTGAACATTATCACGTGACCATGTAACTTAATGTCTATTGTTAACCGAATTGTTAGAAAACATACAATACAACCTAATATATCCTCATATATATTAGCAGTTGTGCCTCTTTCAAATAAAAGCCTTAGACAAATCATCATTAATAAGTCATAGAATTGACTTAAACCTTTACTATTTATCTTCCACATCATTTGGTTGTAGTTTTGTATATCGCAATATCCCCACTCTTTGAAATATCCAAAGAGGTTAGTTTGGGCATAACACTGGATGTAAAAATAATTTGATATTTAAATAATCCCAAATCTAAATGATGCATTCTATCAATTACTGTCGCTTCATATATATTTAAATTCCTAAAATTAATTTAAATTTAAAGTTTAATAATCTATTGCAAAGTAATTTTAATTAATTTGAATTATTTTAAAATATTTCGCAATGTTGTGAACTAAACAACATATATTAATTTAATTGTTAATATATTTAATAAATATTGAATTATTTTAAAATAATTTGCAACAATTTGAAGTATTTAAATGTAAAAATTTTAATAACTTACTCAAAGTTCCAAAAAAAATTTGGTATAAATTCTATACATACTAAATTTTCTTCACCATTATTAAGATAGTTTCGCATATTTTCATGATTTCTAAGCACCAAAGAATAGTCTGTTTGTGCTAATTTTTCTTTTTCTATCAAACAGAAGTAGCAAGGATGATTTGATTGTGCTGACTTATAAGTCAAACAAAATGTTGCAGCTTCTGGCCAATCTGCAATTATTGTTGAAACTTTTGGAATAAACCAGACTATTTTGTTATTGATTAGCAAATTTATACC